CCAGAAGGCAGCCCTGGGGTTTTCGAGGCCAAGCTGCTCATTGGCCCTTGGGCAGAGTCCGACGACTTCACCAGTGGCGCACGGCAACTTCGCGGGCACGACGAACAGCCGTCAGCCTCAGGGCCGTGATACTTTGATTGGACAGGCGAGGATTCCCTCTCCAGCGCTAGAAGCCAGCCGGACCTGCCTAGTGGCCATTGGGCCGCTGCTGGGAAAAGCTCAACGTCCACTGGATTCCTTGCCTCCACGATGAAGCTTGTCTCATCTCCAAAAATGCAAACCGTCGCCCCCCAGCCGTTTATTCTTTTCACGCCGCACCCATCTTAGTTCTCAGACTTCTCCGGCTCTTCAAGCCAACCGACGACCCGAACGGCCTATCATGGGCTGACAATTCAAAAAGACGGCATCATGGTCTCCAAATGCAATAGCCAACCCGCGTTCTCGCCTTGCTCCCCTGCCTCTTTTGGCGGCCAAGCCACCAGAGCCCGTATATTGCGCCGCAGACGCAAATCAGTGCTACCACACACGAGATCACTTTCATATGCTTGACCCAAGACTTCAATTCTCTTCACAAGATGCCGAGGGACCGCCAGCCGGTCGCCCAGCAGGATTGCAACTCTGCGTGTTACTAGGCACCGCGCAAGGGACCACCCCGGCTCTGCTCGACACACAATGCGGGGCAACCGCTTCGAGATGGTGTCGACCTTGTTCTCGGCATGCCACCCAATCTGGACGCTGCCCCGGCCTGCCCTTGCAAGTCTACCGCCGCCAGCCCATCCGTACCATCCATCCTGAACCCTCCCAAGCGCAGATTCGGACGTCAAATCTTGGTGACCTGACAGCTTTTTCATCTGCATCCAGTCACGCCGTGCCATCTTACTGGTCGATCCCGACTCCTTGTTACGCAGTCGGGCTAAGTATCCGTTGGATAGATAGCCCACGCACACGACGTACGGATACTATGGATGGTACACGCCCACTTCGTTTTCCCATGAATAGAGGTCAAAATGTACGCCGGGCACATATGTACTCAATATCCACTCACGCCCAGCCCAGGTATGTACCTGCGCCGCGACCCAACTTTAGACTACCCCGTCTACCTACCGAGTCGGGGCGTCTTAGTCGAATGGGTCGAGGCGAGCGAGAGGGTTACATGCTTGAACCATTGTGGACATGAAGATCTCGAGCTATCGCTACCGTGTGATGCTTTAAGGGTGCCCATTATTCCCCGGCATCCCCAGCCCTTACCCCAGAAAGCATCTCTCGATCTCTGTACTTAAACACCTTTGGTCCCACTCGACTGCTTGGTTCCTCGATACCCTGCCCGCCATCGTTCAGCTGTCATCGAGACATCCAAGCGGACTGTTTGCTCCTTCGCCTCCTTCGAGAGAAACATCGGCCTGTTACGGAAGCGAGCAACAACTCTACGACTATTGCATCCTACAACGCATAACACACACATAAGACGCACAGCACGACTCGGTCAAGATGAGGGACAAGCAAGATATCAACCATTCCGAAAACGCCTTGAACGGTGTCAATTCTGGAGGAAGCGGCAAGAACAAGTCCTGCATGAGGCATTGCAAGAAGCTGTGGTGGGCGTATCTGCTCCTGCTGGTGGTCATCACCGCCATTGTCGTCCCAGTCATGTAAGTACACGCGATCAGACCCTTACTAACTACCGGGACGCTCCTCCAAGCATGATACTGACCCTTCCTGCAGCATTTTGGTTGCCGTTCCCAAGATTGCACAGCATAAGCTCGACGAGGCCGAGCTCGTTGTCGATGGAATTACCCTCTCCAACACAAAGTCCAACTCATACACCATGGCCATCAACTCGACTTTGAAATCGGACGGCAAGGTCAAGGCCACAATTGAGGGCTTCGAGGGAGTCATGTACCTCGAGGACTTGGAGCCGCACACCCCCTTTGTGACCATCAACTTCCCCGAGACCAAGTCCGTCAAGGAGCAGACCGTCAACATCAGCCAGCCTATCCAAATCCAGAACATGGCGGCCTTCACAACATTCAACACCTGGTTCCAAGCAAACGAATCCCTCAGAGTCACAGTCTACGGCGAGACCCACGTCAAGGTCTCTGGACTCCCCAAGAGATACCCCGTGACCTTCAAGAACACGGTCACCCTGCAGGGTACGATCTGAGTTCAGCCCCCAATTTATCGCATGATAAGCTAACAAAACCTAGCCCTGAACGATTTCAAGGGACTCAATGTCACAGAGAGCGAGATCAGCCTGACCCCCGACGCCAATGGCGACAACTTCAAGGGCAAAGTGACGATCCCCAACCACTCCGTCATCACTCTCGAAATCGTAAGTTCATGCAGGTCAGCCAGGTTGCTGCCGTAACTGACACGAAGCTTTCCAGGGCAACGCCTCTTTCCGCAACCTGCTCAATAATAACGAAATCGGCACCGTCTATATTGACAATCTTGTTCTGCATCCGGGCGACAACAACGTCAACATGCGCGCCAACATCTCCCAGGCCCCCGTCCTCACGGCCATCCAGGCGAAGCCCGCTTGCGAGAACGGCGTCATCCCCTTTGGCCTGAACGGCAAGGACGTTGTTAATGGCGGTCAGAGACTGTCGTACTTTGCTGATGCTCTGGCTGCTGGCACCGTCCTTACTGACATCAACGTCGGCGCTGCCCTCAAGAAGATCGGTCTCAATCTTACCTGCAGCTCTTAAGCAAGCGAGCCTTACGATTAGAGAAGATAAACGCATGGGGAAAACGGCATATGGGGAGGCAAGGTGTCTGCTCGCTGGTTCGAAATAATGGTTTACTTCTACTCTCACGGGGGAGGATTTACGTGCTATGTGTGGAAGATTTCGATACCTTGACCTCTGTGAGATTACGATACACAGTGAAGCTGGGCGCCATATGGCTGCAATAGCTAAATTATGATACATGTTCCGCAATCATCGTCCCTTTTGGTAGAGATGTATGCTCAGCAGGAAGGTTCTAACTGACAACCTCGCGATGCCAGTTGTTCACACAAGATTAAGCCTATTTCCGACGTCATGAAACTCACCCCATCTTCACCCTACGGCTTCTCAACCTTCTTGCTTGACGCACATTCCCGTCACCTGTCGTCCAAAATTCATCTTCGGTCCGTGTCCCAGACTTCTTCTGCTCTGACGACACGGATGACGGTGCACACCCACACATGGGATACACGAGGAACACACGGATGCCATCGTCCTAAGGGGGTATCACAATGCCTTTTCCCTCCTTCTCATCTCTCCTCGCTTATAATCAGACGCCGTCAACGCAGATGAAAAGCACTGACTTCTCATCACAAATCCACGTGCTAGAAGACCACTCGTGAAGCGCGCCTCGGCCCAAGACATCCTGAGACGCCTGCAGAAACCTTGCTCCTCTTTTTTTCTGCCTGTCCAACCCCACGCAGCGCGTAATGCAAGGCCATGTAACCCCAAACTGATCTTCGCGAGCGCTGACTATGTCCATATGCCGTATGCACTAAGAGCTGAAGGGGGGGCGTGGGATCGACTTTTCACACTACCAGCCGCCGCCGCCCGCTTTTCGCTTCCCCGCGCGGGAGAGGGCCCCCTGCTCGGACGAAGAAGCCGAAGCCGCCGCCGCCGCCGCCTCGTTCCCGGGAGACGCGACGTCGGACGCAGAAGGACCGCCGGCAGCCGCTGGAACGAACTCGACTGGCCCGCCGGCCTTCCTCAGCCCAGCACGCTCGGCGCGGACGCGCTCCTGGCTCTGTCGCAGCGCGGTCCTGGTGGCCCACTCGGGGAGAGCTGCTTCAGACGTGGGGTCCCAGATGTCGTGGGGCAGCGTGGTGGCGTAGCCGCCGCGGCCGTCGATGTCGACGAAGTCCATAAGCTTGTCGGTAAGGCTTGGATTGCGTAGGGCGGAGGACTGGGCGAGCTTGGCGTTGAAGTGCACGCCCTTCTTCTTGAGTTCGATGAACTGGGTGAACTTGGCGGTTAGGGCTGGAGGAGGGGAGCCTGGAGGCGAGGGGGGGATGTCGAAGTTCGGGACCGGGGGGAGGGTGAGGTCGCGGAGGAGGGCGCGGGAGGCTGTGTAGGGCGAGTCTGCGCCGTCGGCTGCTTGTGACAACGACCCCTGGGGTAGCTGGGCTCCCATGGATGGTAGGGCAGGTCCTAGAGGAACGGAATGTTGTTGAACGGGGCCGATCGTTATATTCTCTGACGGTGGTTGCGGCTCCTGAGCCTCTCGCTTTGGTGGCTGTGGTGATGGTGGCTTGGCATCTTCTAAGAGTTTGTCAATATGAGATTCACAAGAGCTAGATGAATGCGTATATCACGGCTGCTTACTTGAATCGGGCTGCTGTGGGGGCGGTGCGGTTGTTTTTGAAGTTTCGGTCTGTGGATGATGAGTTAGTGAACTGCTTGGGAGAGAGGAGTAGTGAGTGAGTGACGGCACCTTCTCCTGAGGAATAGTCTCTTGGACATCGTCATCCTCGTCACTGCTGTCATATGCGACCAGGCCAGCCATTTTGATTGAAGTAAAATGAAAATAAAAGTAAAAAGCTGCCAAGAACTTCAGATGATCGTGGGGGAAAATCAAGACGAATTCAGCTCCGTAGCGATGGCGTTGATCAAGGTGAAGCGCCGGTGTGAGTTCCTTACAGGCTAGCTAAATTCCGGGGAATTAAATTGGAATTTTTCGATTGGTCTTCCAGAGTGGGTCCTTGCCGCAAGGTCTGACCTCACGTTTGGGCGGCCTGGACCAACCTAATTATCACGTCGCGACCTTTTTCCGCCCCTCTCAAACTTCTCCAGCCGCATGTCATCAGCGTCGCCATCCTAGCAGACCGATCTGTTGACGACGCTCCTTCTTCACACCATCATTTTACCCTACGGAGCTGTCAGAGCTAAGCTCCAACAGTGGTGACACCCAGAGTGACAGAACCCTGCGAGAACAAGAAGCAAAAAAAAAAGTAGCTCTCACCAAACGTAGTGTCTTGCTGAGAGTTCGAGACCTACAACATGGCTCGGACCAGGGACTCGCGCTCACCATCGCCTGCAGGAAGCCAATACAACGCGAGACGCCACCGCAAAGACGATCATAGGCGCGATCGGGATCGCCGCGATGACGGCAGAGACTACCGTCGTCGCTCGCGGTCCAGGAGCCCTGGCGATGTGAGAAGACACCACTACTATGGGAGACGCGATGGGGAGCATTCTGACAAGTTCAACGAGCAGCGCCGATACCGAGATCGCGACCGTGATCGCGACTCCTACCGCCGCAGGGACCGCTCCATAGACCGACGAGACGATGATTCATATCGAGGAAGCCGACGAGACAACGACCGCCACAGAGACCGGAGGAGGTCGCGTGACCGTTACGCTGACCGAGACCGGTCGCTTGACAGACGGCGGCATCGTGACAACGACAGAGACCATCGCCCCCGGCGGGACGATTCTCGGGACAGGGTGCGCGCCAGGCGCGAGGGAACGGCTGATTCCCATCCCCGTAGCAGGCGCGATGACAGCCGTCCGCGCGCTGCGGCACCTTCAGATAGCACGCCAACTCCCGGTAATGAGGTATGAATATCCCCCATGTATACTTGATGCGAACATCGCTAACAACGATTGATAGGCTGCTAAGCCCAAGCCTACCCCAGCACAGACTGAAGCTGACAAGAAGGCTGAGCGACTCGCCAGACTTGAGGCGTGGAAGAAGAGCAGGGAGAACAAGGCGAGCAAAGAGAATGAGGTTAATCCAAGTCAGACTAGGAATCTCCTTGCTGAGATGGACAAGAAGTCCGTGCCTTCACCGGCCGCTGCTTCGCCCACCGTTGCGTCGCCCGCCGTGGCCTCACCCGCTGTCGCGTCTCCTGGAGCCGCATCGCCAGCTCCGACACAGGCGACATCTGGAGCCGCATCGCCGGCTGTGCCTTACTCAGGCAAATTTGACCCAAAGGCGATTGCCAAAAAGTCTGCGGCGTCACTCAAGCAATCCAACTCGAATGGTGTTCTGGGCTTGCTTGACGGCCGTCCCGAAAAGAGTACTGCTGCTGTTGCGCAGACCACCAAAGGTACGTTTGTTCCGCGATCTGCCACGCATACTCCTGCTTACCAAGACATCTCAGCTTCCGCATTGCCCGCCAATCGAGGAAACCTGAGCGCCTTCGGCTTCCACAAGCAGGCCGACAGCGACAAGCTGCCCAGCAAACGCAAGCTGGACCTCGACGAAGAGGAGGGAACGAAGAGGAAACTTACGAAGTTGCCCGCCCTTCCCCTCGAGGCTGATGACACCCCCTATGCTGATCAAGATGAGGACGATGAGTCTGACGGCGGCAACTTTGCCGAGACTGAGGAAGAGGCTATTGCGGCCGCTCGCGCAGCACACGAACGGCGAGAGAAGGAAATGCAAGAAGCAAAAGACGAGGAAAAGCCCGACGTCACAATGGATGACGCGGCTCCGGCTCAGACGAACGGCGCTACCGAAGAATCCTCAGCGGACAAGATGGATGTCGAAGAGGAAGACGAGGTTGATCCCTTGGATGCCTTCATGGCCGACTTGGACACCAAGCCCAAACCTGCTGCTCCCAAGGCAAGTACATCATCGAAGAAGGTCCAAGAACCCGAGGCGTACTTCAGTGACGATGACTACGCCTTCAAGGCAGAAGACAAAGATGCGAATGCAATCCTCGCCATGGCAGCCAAGCGCAAGAAGAAGGATATTCCCACCATCGATTACAGCAAGCTCGATCTGCAGCCAATTCGCAAGAACTTCTGGGTTGAACCAGCAGAGCTTGCAGCCTTGACCGAAGCTGAGGCCAACGACCTACGTCTGGAACTCGATGGCATCAAGGTTTCCGGGAAAGATGTCCCCAGGCCTGTCCAGAAATGGGCTCAATGTGGTCTCACACGGCAAACACTGGATGTCGTCGCCGACTTGGGATACGAAAAGCCTACGTCCATTCAAATGCAGGCGTTGCCCGTCATCATGTCCGGCCGCGATGTGGTCGGCGTAGCCAAGACCGGATCCGGTAAAACGGTTGCTTTCCTCCTGCCCATGTTCCGTCACATTATGGACCAGCCTCCCATCAAGGACACCGATGGTCCCATCGGCCTCATCATGACCCCCACCCGCGAGTTGGCGGTTCAGATTCACCGTGACTGTAAGCCTTTCCTCAAGGCCATGGGTTTGCGGGCTGTCTGCGCTTACGGCGGAGCGCCTATCAGAGATCAAATTGCCGAGCTCAAGCGAGGAGCCGAGATCGTTGTCTGTACGCCTGGCCGCATGATTGATCTGCTGGCAGCCAACCAAGGCCGTGTCACCAACCTGCGCCGCGTCTCATACGTCGTCCTTGATGAAGCGGATCGAATGTTTGACATGGGTTTCGAGCCTCAAGTCATGAAGATCTTTGCCAACATGCGACCTGACCGCCAGACCATCTTGTTCTCGGCGACGATGCCTCGCATCATTGACTCCCTTACCAAGAAGGTGCTGAAGTCTCCAGTAGAGATCACCGTCGGTGGCCGCAGCGTCGTAGCGCCAGACATTACGCAAAAGGTCGAGGTCATCCCTGAAGACGCCAAATTCGTCCACCTCCTAGGACTTCTTGGTGAGCTTTACGACGAGGACGAGGACGCCCGTACTCTCATCTTTGTCGAACGTCAAGAGAAGGCAGACGACTTGCTCAAGGAGCTCATGGTGAAGGGTTACCCATGCATGTCCATCCACGGCGGCAAAGACCAGATTGATCGAGACTCTACGATTGCTGATTTCAAAAAGGGCATTGTCCCTATCCTTATTGCCACCTCCGTTGCCGCCAGAGGTCTAGACGTCAAACAGTTGAAGCTGGTTGTCAATTATGATGCCCCTAACCATCTGGAAGATTATGTCCACCGCGCCGGTCGAACCGGAAGAGCCGGTAACAAGGGTACTGCTGTGACTTTCATTACTGAAGAGCAAGAGAACTGCGCTCCTGGTATTGCCAAAGCTTTGGAGCAGAGCGGTCAACCTATACCTGACCGTCTGAACGAGATGCGCAAGGCCCACAAGGACAAGGTCAAGGCTGGCAAAGCCAAGGACACTTCTGGTTTTGGTGGAAAGGGTCTGGATCGTCTCGATGCCGAGCGTGAAGCTGCCCGTCTTCGCGAGCGCAAGACCCACAAGGCCGAGGGCGAGGAAGACGACGTGAAGGAAGAGAAGACAGAGGAAGACAAGGGCAAGGATGCCGCGTCTGCCATTAAGTCAGCCGTCTCCGCGATTGTATCACGCAACGCCAACAAGCCTGAGGGAGAAGCCAAGCCCAAGGACGCGCCGGCCGCCGCGGGTGCCCCTGGTGGCAAGAAGCCTCTGGACGCTGTTAGTGCCGCGATCAGTGCTATCAACGAGCGCCTTGGCAAGGCTGGCCAGCTACGTTCCGGACAGCCCATTGACAACAAGGGACCTGATGCCGGTGCTTACCACGCCACGCTGGAGATCAACGACTTCCCGCAGAAGGCCAGATGGGCCGTCACAAACAGAACCAACGTGGCCAAGATTCTGGAGGCGACTGGCGTGTCAATCACCACGAAGGGAACTTTCTATCCGGCAGGCAAGGAAGTTCCTCCTGGAGCAGACCCCAAGCTGTACATCCTTGTTGAGGGTGACACTGAGGTCGTAGTGGGAGCTGCTATTACAGAGCTCACTCGTCTCTTGAGCGAAGGTACAGTGGCCGCTGCCACGGCGGACAGCCGCGCGCCCGCCTCTGGACGTTACAACGTCGTTTAGAATCTTTTGTGTGTCTTTCGTTGTCCATAGTAAGCTCGTATTTAAGTCGGTTGTCGGAGTGGCGGCGTCAGGAAAGAGGGAGGTTCGCCTCGAAATATACATCAGGGCACACATAACGGAAGGGAGATCCGTCCTTATCGGGCTGTAGTATTAGTGAGAGGTTTCAATAAAAAACATGCTCTTCAGATTGGCTTAGTTCTCAGTGAACGGTGGATGAAACTAAGTGGCCATCGTCGGTCGCATCTTTCAACGTCTTGATGGTCTACTGGAGAGACCTCCAACTTATGCCGAGAAGCACAGGACCGAATCACAGGAGGGCTAGCTAGTTATCTCCGACAGAGAATAGGTCAATGTAATAAATCTGATGCGCTAATAATGACAAAACCAAGAGGTATTATGGAAACGACGCCCGCCAAACCCCATATTATCTTGCAAAGAACGCTGCCTCCTCTTCCTCAACGCCCGGTCTAGTTGTACGTCCTCGCCTCAGCTGCGGCATCAGCATCGCGCTGGCGCAATTGCTGGGTGCTGGCATCCTTCAGTAAATCGGTCTGCGTCTGCTTCTTTTGCGCATTCAGTTGCGAGCCCAGCTTCCCCGTCGACTTGTTCGCTGCTTTTGCGCGGGCCTGTTGCGGTACATGTTAGCGACACTGTCTCATAGTGTTCCAAGGGGGGTCCATCGGTCGCCTGGCTTGGCATAGGACGGTGAGGGGGCGCCTCTTACCTCTGCTGCCTCGGCGGCCCTGCGTCGTGCGTCGTCCGCGTCGGCGTTGGACCGCTCTCCGGATGCGCCGCCGCCGCCGCCGCCGCTACCACCACCCAGTGTCCTCGGAGGCCCTCCTACTCTCGCGGGGATGGGCGCGGTCTTGGGTTGGGGTGGGGGCGCGGTGCCGAGGGGGCGGCCCGGGGAGGAGAAGTTGTCATCGCCCGACTCCTTGCCGCAGACGGAGCCCATTGTCGCAACGGCGGTTCGTGGACGGGGTATGGATGGTCCTTTGTTTGATCGATGCGCGCGCGCGGCGGTGGCGAGATCGTTTCGGGGGCGCGATTCAGGACGGAAGACGGAGCCAACGGTCGGGAGGATGAGGTTCGGCGGGTTGGGAGTCCGGAGGGAGGAGGTCGGTGCGGATGTACGTAATTACGGTGTGTTCGCGGCGGCGGCCGGGATGCAGGGTCTAGGAAGTGTGGTTATCTGACTTGTCGGTTGCGATCAGGGTTGCGACGGTCGTTCGGTGGGATATACTGCTGTCGCGGTAGGAACGGATGAATGAGATGAGACGCTGGAAGAGGTTCGGAGAGGAAAACGTCAACATAAGGATCACTTGGCCCGGGGAAATTCAGGGCCGCGTAAGGTAACCTCGTCTATTGACATGAAGCCAAGACTGCGACGGGAGGTTCGACGACAGCTGCGCCGCCCTGCCACAATGGACGCCGCGCACACGGTACACCCGGCGAAGAGACGCTAACAATCAGCAGGCAAGGGTCCCGTGGTGCTTCGCTGGGTCCGTTTGTCTCTGTACGGGTAAACCGCCTTCCAGGGCTGTGCTACAGCGGGGGCGGGGTTCATTGGCCCGAGACAGGTCGCTCCGACCTCCCCTCCCTCCAGCCAGTGTCTCCAAAGAATGACGCTGCAGCGCCGGACCAATGGCCGAAACTCCAATTCTCATAGTGTTTTCGCAGAAATCTGCAAACTTTGGCGCTTCAGATTCACCAGGTGGGGGCGGGGATTCACAACCTGCGCGGCAAACGCGACAATGAATCCTCCGCTGGCTTGACTCAATATCTGCAATCGCCATGTCTGCCGGATAGGAGCGAATGGAGCTGTGGAAGAAGAAAGATCCTCTCTCGTGCTCAGTTTCCCCTCATCGTCGTCCCACTCGAAGGGGCCCCGGGAGGTTGGTTTGCGGTTGAGGTCACTCTTGTCGCATTGCACCAGGAGGGACGAGCATGCGACGTGGGGCAAAGTAACCTGTAAAGTACATCATCTAGCACTAAAACACCCCGCAATCCTGCGGTATCTGCCCCGTACTTTTGCCAGCGTTTTATTTTTTTCGTAGCTGCCCCTCCCCCTCCTTGATCGGAAGCTGATTTTGCGCGCCTACCTCTCACACCCACAACGCATCATCGCGCAAGGGCAAATTTTTTGCTTTTCCAATCTTGTCTTTCCCCTACTCCTCTTCGTTTCCCAATTGTCCTTTACTTTCATCCTTCATTCTCCGACACCAAGCCACTCCGTCGAGTTCTGAAGGCACCGAAGCAAAGATGTCGGGTCAGAAGATTGCCATCCTCTCTGTCTATGACAAGACGGGTCTGCTGGACCTGGCCAAGGGCCTCAACCAGCAGAATGTCCGTATCCTTGCCTCTGGCGGTACTGCCAAGATGATCCGGGAGTCTGGTTTCCCCGTTGAGTAAGTCTGCCAATAAGCCATCATTACCTGAGCTTCCGTGACTTGAACATGACTGATTGGGCTGTCGTACAGGGACGTTTCCGCCATCACCAAGGCCCCTGAGATGCTGGGCGGTCGTGTCAAGACTCTTCACCCCTCCGTTCACGCTGGCATACTTGCGAGAAACCTCGAGTCCGACGAGAAGGACCTGGCCGACCAGAACATCAATAAGGTCGACTATGTCATTTGCAACCTGTACCCCTTCAAGGACACCGTTGCCAAGGTCAATGTTACCGTCCCCGAGGCCGTCGAGGAGATTGACATTGGTGGCGTCACCCTCCTCAGAGCTGCTGCCAAGAACCACAGCCGAGTTACCATCCTCAGCGACCCCAAGGACTACGCTGAGTTCCTCAAGGAGCTTGAGACCGGCGAGATCACCGAGGAGAGCCGCAAGCGCTATGCCCTGAAGGCCTTTGAGCACACTGCCGACTATGACACCGCCATCTCCGAGTTTTTCCGTAAGCAGTATGCTGCCGACGGCAAGCAGTACATGGCTCTCAGATACGGCGCCAACCCCCACCAGAAGCCCGCGGCTGCCTTCGTGCCTTCTGGCGAACTGCCCTACAAGGTTCTCGGAGGCTCCCCCGGTTATATCAACCTCCTGGACGCCCTCAACAGCTGGCCTCTGGTCAAGGAGCTCAAGCAAGCTCTGGGTAAGCCCGCTGCTGCAAGCTTCAAGCACGTCTCCCCTGCCGGTGCCGCCATTGGCACTCCTTTGACCGAGGATGAGCGCAAGGTCTACTTTGTCAACGACATTGAGGGTATTGAATCTTCTCCCTTGGCTCAGGCCTACGCTCGTGCCCGTGGTGCCGACCGCATGAGCAGTTTCGGTGATGTGATTGCTCTCAGTGACATTGTCGATGTTCCCACTGCCAGCATCATCTCCAAGGAGGTGTCTGACGGTGTCATTGCTCCCGGTTTCGAGCCTGCCGCCCTTGAGATCCTCAAGAAGAAGAAGGGCGGCAAGTACCTGGTCCTGCAGATCGATCCCGACTACGTCCCCTCCAAGACGGAGACTAGGACCGTGTACGGCGTTACTCTGCAGCAGCACCGTAACGATATTGAGATTTCCCCCAAGTCTTTCAACAGAATCATCACGCCCAAGGACTCTGCCCCTCTGTCCGAGTCCGCTCTGCGTGACTTGACTGTGGCTACTATTGCCCTGAAGTACACTCAGAGTAACTCTGTGTGCTACGCCTACAACGGACAGGTCATTGGCCTGGGCGCCGGACAGCAGTCCAGAATCCACTGCACTCGTCTCGCTGGCGACAAGGCAGACAACTGGTGGCTCCGCTTCCACCCCCGCGTTCTGGGCATCAAGTGGAAGAAGGGCACCAAGCGCCCCGACAAGAGCAACGCCATTGACCTGCTCGTCAGCGGCGAGCTCCCCAAGTCTGGTGCGGAGCGCGACATGTTCGAGGCGGTCTTCGACGAGGTTCCTCCCGCCTTCACTGAGGCCGAGAAGGAGGAGTGGCTTGGCAAGCTGACCAACGTCGCCGTGTCAAGTGATGCTTTCGTAAGTTTCAAATGCTCCGATAATGCAAGCCACCTGCTGACCAAGTCCAGTTCCCCTTCGTTGACAATGTTTTCCGCGCATCTCGATCCGGTGTCAAGTATATCGCCGCCCCTGGCGGCAGCCAGAACGATGGGGCCGTGTTTGACACTGCGGAGAAGCTCGGCATCACTTTCGTCGAGCAGAACATCCGCCTCTTCCATCATTAAGATCTCGTGTTTTGACAAAAGCTATGGTGTTATGGGGAACCATTGGGAATGATTGGATCGGCTGGGATCCGGGGAAAATTGAGACTTAGGAGGCGTCCATTCAACTCCGAGAAAAACCGGCCTCGGGCTGTGGAGATCTCAACGATGATATGCATCACGAATCGAGAGCAGCAGCCGCAGCCGTGTGAGTGGGGAGGGGCGCCGGGGAAATACGCCACGTCGGAAGAGCACTGATATTCAACATATATCCGGAGTACTTGGGATTGACTTATTTAGGCAGATAGCGGAACATGTGGTGTGGCTTTTGCTACTTTTACGACCTCAAAGTCACTACGGAGGAAGTTGACTTCCGGTAATCATTGTTTATCATATTACACTGGCGAACAGTACTCTTTCGCAAAAGAAGATTTCAACAGGAAATCTCTACTCCCTTGGGCTATTGGCGTAAACCCGCGCGCGACTTTGATTGACCGGACGTATCTCCATCGAATATCTCAGTGACGGGAGTTTCTTCAAGCCACATGCAACGATATTTTCTCTTTGGGAAGAAAAAGCCTTTTGCGTACTGAGAGTTTCTTCCGGCAGTCGGTGTTAAGCATGGCAATGTAGCAATTAAGCTTTTGAAATTATGAGGCAACTAACTGGGCATCTGATCAGTCCGTTATGACTCACACGGCTTCAGCTCTGCGAGATCCACCGAGAGGTTTGTTTAGTCGAATACGATTATCGTTTGAATTCGAAAATGAGAAAACATCATGTTCCTGAAGGCATGCAGCATATGCGGCGTCATCGCGTCACTTGCGCAGCACTGGAGCAGAAGTGGTCTACTTACACTTTGTGGCGTGATCAGTTTGGAGCTTAACTTGAGGGCATGCCGCTGGTGGCTGGCTGCTCGCCTTGTTTTCTCATCCCATTGTTCTTGTGCCTGCGTTTAGATCAGGGAATTGGGTTTGGCAGTAGCCCCAAAGTTCCTATTCGCATGAGATTCATCATGGAGGCAACAAGGCAACCAGCTAGCTGGCCCTAACTCGGAGTTGAGCGCCTCAACCGCCGCGGGAGATGTTCGAATGAAGATGAGATGTACAGATTGTGTTTAGGTCCCGTACACAGTGCTCCCTCCCATCTCAGCGAGGCGCACAGGCACAGACAGGCGCAGGCGAAAATATGCGCACCATAAACGCAGCGTTGCGGTTCTTGCTGCTTACATACGCGCAAAGCTGGACGCCCGAGCCAATCAGAGACCTCTCGTCTGCTAAGAAAGGGACTGCAGTGGATCCCAGCGCCAACCACAGGCGACTGATTACCTTCTTGAGATACGTATCCGTACCACTTGCTGGACCCCCCTGTGACCCGTGTTCTCCACACACGCCCCCACGTTGTCAGCTTGTCAGCCTCTCAGAGGTCCAGCATTCCTGCTCGTGAGAGGCTTGCTTCGGTTCACACATCACGACGGCGGATGATGGCTTGACCAGCGGCGGCGCTCATCGAGCTCTGCCTAGAAAGAGGAAACCTTACGTCTTGTCTGCGAGCACCGATAACGTTGTTGGTGGCAGCGCTCAAATTACAATAAATATTTAAGACGGCAGGACCCCTGTGGTCAAGGGGGTTGCGTCGACAATCAAGCCAGAAAAAACACACACAAGAGAGAGAGAGAGAGAGAGAGAGAGAGAAACCAAAACCCCGGAGCGCAAGCGCAATATTGCCTCGACTCCTTCAGACCCGAAGGTAAGTACTCATCGTCACAAGTGATCTTTTAGCATGGATTTTTGACAGAAGCGACAGGGATTCCAGTGTTACGCTGCCCCTCCGTCGCCATACTGAAAGACCGCATTTTCGCGCCGGTGGCCATCAAGGTTCTCAAAAGCGCACCGCACCTGGGCATCGTGCCTGCTCCAGCAGTGAACACCGCCTTCCCACACCACGCGCAGCAAAAGGACGCCAGTCGCAGGAGCTGCCAGGGCGACGACGAACCACCGGCTCATTTCCCCTCAGTTCAATTCACCTTCCAATTTTTCTTGCCTCCTTCCTTGCCCAGGGCCCCAAACCCAAACCCAAGCTCAAGCTCAAGCAAGCCATAGCACGAGCTGGCTTGTCAACGGCTGGACCTCCCTCCCTCTTCTTCAAGGTTGTCTCGCTAGGTTCTTTTTGGTCCCAACCCCAAGGGTACTCCAGCCATACAAAGTCGGCGCCATTTCGTCTGCATCCCAAATTTCCTCCCAGACATAACTGGATCTTTTCCCACCAACCCCCAGACACTACGGCTACACCATCTGTTCTTCATACTTTATCCAGGGTCTTACCGTTGCGGCTCTGCGACCTTCCGAATCATTTCCACCTCGACAGTCTTCTCCAGCCAGCCCTCCTCGTGGCCCAAGTTACCTTGCCCACTGACGATCAACGTGGGGTGACCCAAGCGCGCAAACAACTTCGAAGTCAACGTCACATCTCTCTCCATCATGGACGGCCTGGGCAACCATGGCATCCATGAGCATCTTGGCCTCAGGGGAGAGACAGAAGAATATTACCAACTGCAAATGGAGCAACATCAGCACGCCCAGCACTTCCAGGGCCACGCACACAACCACCTTCATGGTCTGGTGAATGATCCTTTCCTGCCCTCCTACCACGACGACACCTGTTTAGACTTGGGCCCAGGACATACACATACCCACGGTCCCACCAAGAGTCATCAACAAACGATGAATCAAGCCCATCACGGTCGCAGCATGAGCATGGCTGCTATATCAACCAACAATCTCTCTACGCCTCACACACCAGACATTAGCGTTTTCGGCCCCTTCGTCTCGAACTATACCATTGGCGTGACGCCGGAAAGCAATATGACCTTCGATCATCACAATGCAATGTCTGTGGATTGGATGACGGCCTATCAAGAGCAGCAACAGCAGCAGTTGATGGGCTATCAAGAAGAGCAGCTGCAGCAGTCAAGCCCCGCGATGCCTAGCAACCATTCTGATTGTGACGAGTCCGATTCCTGCGCAATGCAATGCCCCGACAGCCGCTGCGAGCAGGGCGTTGCCTGCAACAACAAGGATTGCGCCGAGTCTCCTTGTCTCTCTAGTTTCTCTGATTGCGACGACCCTGAGTGCGAGGGAGACGTCTGTAGCGAACCAGACTGTTTAGCGCTGGACGGGCCCTCACTGAAGGCTGCAGAGTCTCTCATTTCGTTGGAGTCGAGGCCGGCGCAGTCTTCGTCCCAGCCGCCTTCTCAGCCCTTCTCAGGCCAGGGCACTCCCCATGGACTGCCGGCTCATTTAACGATGCAGTCAGTGAACCTCGGCGGCCTTTCAGAGACACCCAACTTCAATATGGCGCATGGGGACTTCTACTGTTCATCATCTGCTAGGCACGGTATTCCATCCGACGGTCTCCCTATGCCACACGCCTATGCTTCTCAAGTCTATACGAACGGATCCATCGACTTGAACGACTTGAACAACAATATGGACAACTTGAACCAGTTTATCATCCATGCACTGGAACACCACGTCCCTGGCCCCCATCCTGATCGTTGTCTGGGACCTTGCTACGACACGGTCAACGGCTTGGTATTTGAAAAGTGCCCCCTCCCAATGGATTCGCACTTCCACCCAGGACAAAGAGGGTTTTGCACAGATAACTCCACGCAAGGGGAATGTAATGCACCTTTGCATTCCGAACCTGGGGCTTTCTTGGATCATATCAGGGAGATGCATCCCATGACTATTGAACAACACATGATGGAAGCAGTCTCGCAACAAACAGTTTGGCCAAGCTCCCGGGGTACTCTTCCAGCACAGAAATCGATCTCGAGGCGATCACCTCTTGACATGTCGTCGCCAACACTGTCGTCGGCTTCCGGGACACCCATGTCGGCGGAGACTCCAGTCACGCCTGACACAGATATTGGACAAGCTTGCACTTGCAAATGGAAAGTCAGTGATGACCAGATCTGTGGTCTTAGGCTTCCCAACGATGAAGCTCTCCAGAAACATTGCAAAGAAATCCACCTGAGCGCAATGGCCAAGCAGGCAAAGGGGTTCCCCTGTCTTTGGAGCACATGCCCTCGCGATACTACGTTCAACCAGAAGTCCAAGCTGGAACGCCATATGCAAACGCATACAGGATGTAAGAGACCCTGTTCCAGTCCCCTTCAGGGAAGATAACTGACTGTACCGCAGACAAACCTGTCAAGTGTGAAGTCTGTCACGCTGCACTTTCCGCCAAACAGTCGCTGGCACAACACATGCGTATACACACAGGAGAGAAGCCGTGGAAGTGCAATTTCCCGGACTGCACGCAAAGTTTCAAACAGCAGAGTGCACTCAGTAAGTTCCCATCGAAGTCTCAACATGATCTAGCTGACCTTCGTAGCCATGCACAAAAGAACCCACACTGGCGAAAAGCCACTATCTTGCGAAATCTGCGGAAAGAAGTTTGGCGAGTCCAGCAACTTGTCCAAGCACCGCAAGACTCACAACGTTAAAGGTCAGTTTACCTGCGAAGTCTGTGGCAAGGACTTCCATCGACTGGACCAGATGCGAAGACATATGAGGGTCCACGAAAACAAGGACAAGGATACGCAACATGGAAACGGTAGCATGGGCCGCGTCATTAGCGGTCGCGTTGAGAAGAACACAAAATGATGTTCCATCTTCTAGGTAGTGGCGTTCTGGTATGCTTTCGGTCTGTTTTTTTTTTTTTTTTTGTGTTGGTATGAAATTGGGTCTCCTTCTCACTTGGGCACGGCTTACGAAAAAGATACCCTGGGTCATGAACTGGCGTTATCGGTATACCCGGGAATCGGTGTTTGGGTAGCCCCTTTTACAGGAGGGCAAATGTCTCAAAGGATGTCCCGTGCCGGCTGAAGGATTAGTTGTTTTCAAGTTTCGCGCGGTGGTGCAGTAGTAGTAGTAGTAGTAACAGTTTGCTCGTCAGAGCCAAAGACAAGTGAAGAATTTTTCACTGCCACAAGTCTGACTACCCACTGATTTGCGTTCGTGGCTTGCATGATGACTTTGAGCCTGGCTCATCCGGGTCTCTATGTCGGTACTTCATCTTTACTATGATCAACCGAGATATATTGGGGTTGGATGATTGCCTTCACGATCTTGTTCGGGACGCTGACCTCGAGATCAGGGAGAGGGTCTGCGAACCATAGCCAGACAGCCAGACTGGCTACTCTCGAGGCAGAGGATTCACATACAACTGAGGAGTTCTATGAAAACTTAGTGTATCGAACGCCCCACAAGAGCCCGAGGGAAACCACATTGAGCCAAACCCGCCTGCAGCATGGCCGCAAGCCAGGGAAAGGCCCGACGCTTCCTTTGGAGTAAGATCTGACATCGGTTCCTCATCGTACGACTCTTGACGAGGGAAAGAAGATCCGTTCGCCACTGTTGAGAGGAGTGTTTGCGCTGCTTTGGGCTTGGGTCTCGTGTGAGGGCCTCCTTCCGGGACTGCGGGTGCTGCACCCGCGAAGGAGGTCAGTCTACAGTGCGGCATACGTTCGCCCTCTTCGGGGATGCGTCATTTGAGGCGTCGGGCGAGAATCCGGGGAGTCTGCGTCGAATTCGCCCACCAGCCGACGCTGTTGGTACCCCTGAACAGTTGGGCTCATGTGATTACGCCGCGGGCATTGTGCTCCACTCGGTCAAGCACATTGCCTAAGGCTCTCATGGAGTGGCACGAAGATGTGATCTTGGTGGATATCGACGAAAATACTTTCCCTGTGTATCATCATCGCCGTCGTTCACCGAGGGGCTGAAGTTTAAATGCCCCGCAATCTGGCCAATGCAGGATGGAACAGCGGATCTGACCGAATACGGGGGAGTGACGGGATACTAAGAACCCGGGGCGAGTTTAGAAGTCGTAAGAATACGAAGTTGCGCCAGGGTGGATGAAGTTGCGCCAAGGTGGGTTTTGTTGTTGTCTCATGACTTTCGGGACTTGACCTGGGGCCAATTGAGAGATGGGGGCGTTTAGACGTTCGAATGCGACTGTTCTGGACGTGGTTCGCCTTGGAAAGATCGTCTTGGAAGAAGTTGGAGGCTTGAATGTGGAAATGAAGTTGTCTGCGGTGGAGTTTTCGTCTTGTGCGGATGACGTCTGCTGAAAGTCCTACAGAAGTAGCACGAAAGTCACCAAGTTGTACAATCATGTTGAGAATGCCGCTTATCCTTCGTGTGGAGGAGATGGTGCAGATGATGCCTAAACTCTGCGAGTTGGCGACAGAATGTGAAATAGAGCAAGTGGCGTTTCCTGAGAGCAGATGGCGGCACACTGGGTGCAAAGGAGGGGGTTGTCGCGACGGGGTCTAGCAGACTCCCCGCGAGTTGCACCAGTCTCTCAGTTCTCTTCTGTTCTCGGCTTCTAATTATGACTGTGCCCTTATTCAGTCCTACCAAGGCCTGGATTGCATCGCTTTGGTTTCGACAGAGCGGTCGATGAGACGAATACGCTATCGATGACTGTCGTTGAAGGAGTCTACCTAGAGGTTTCCCCTCCCATTTCAGCAAGTCTGTGTTACTGTCGCTTTTATGAATACTGTATTATCTCCGTCGTCGTGTTCTTCTCGCCTATGTGACGAATCATGTCTACATTATCGCTGCTTATGTTGCCAGGTTTGCTGCGGACGGAGCCATCACGTATTTTTCGGTCGATTCATATACTTAGGCCAGCGAAGGGATATGGCAGTCTCTGGGTATTGCCTGTTGTCATTGAGAAAGCAATTCAAAATGTGTGTGCAGCAACGGTGCCTTTGAAATTGCTCGATTCGCTTGAAATCCGAGTCTGTTTGAGGCGAATGATCCTTAGGATATACTGTCTTCTTCGATGACAGCTTATACGGTGACACAAGAGCATGGTTGCCCACAAGTCAGGAAATATGACGCCGTGTTTAAGTGTGTCTGCGGCTATATATACCCTAGATAGGAATTGAATAGCTGATGATGAGTGGTTGTTTGAGGAATCTCTTGATAAAGGAAACATCTCAGCGAAGTCATTTCACGATGCGCCTTTGGCCGGCGAAAGCAGGTCTATTTGACCAATGTTTGAAAGTAACACATGCGTGCATTCCGAATCATAGAGAAGAGTAGACAGTAGCTAGCTACATGGAGAAAAATGCAGCGTATGGTACAATTGTCCCATCTTCGCAAGACTTGATCGGCTGAGTTCATGAGTTGAATCAAGACTTGAACGACCAGTAGCGATTTTTAACAAGCCAACTCAGGCTCTACGTAATTGACAACCATACCTTGGTGAACACACCTTGATGAAACCATGACTAGACAAAGGTCTAGTACCGAGTATTTGGCAGGGTCTAAGTGTTTGTTGAGCATGAATCATTGCTCGAATCGTAAATGAACATGCTTGGGATAAGAGAAAGACCGAGAACATCGCGGGAAAATAAGGTGCCAAGGACGCAGTAAGAATGGATTGCCGGCGATGTCTGTCAGGCATCGACACAGAATAGCGTGATCTGAGGGCGGTCGGGGTCGTTGAAAACCTGTGTTAGGTCCGACAAGCATCGGAAAGCTAGCCATAAGGGTTATCTTGAAGAACTACATCCAACATATGCACCATATTTCAGTGTCGACGATAGCCGGGAAACACATGCAGCTGAACGGATATACAGACGTCTGCGGTGTGAGGATGGGCAGAGGAACGAACAGCACACTTTGGAAACGGAGGGATTATTTTGAAGTCGGGACATCTTTGGCCCCATTTGACATTTTTGTCGGCAGCTCTATGCTACCAACCACACTCGGAGGGAGCCTCTCATCATAGAGATGTGACAGAAGAGAGGGCAAAAACCTGCGAGCCAAGCTTTTTGGTTTGCCATGACCGGTTGAGAAAATCCATTTGTTTGCAGCACTGGGAAAATAACAAAGCGCAAAACCCTTTAATTTCCCTCCGTGACCATGCAATGCATCATCGAGTAATTCGGGATCCCCGTGTGCCAAAAACGTGTTACGCCTCCGTTTCCATTTTCGTAGTTCCTCATCCCCAACCCTAGATACCCAGGAGCGGTTGGCTAATTTAAGCGGCCTGCTTCACAGTCAGTTACGGTTTCCTTCGCGCGGGAGAACCAGGGGGTGAGGTGGGAGAGCGTGGGGACAGCTCGTGGCAGAGGGTGACGGTCTGTCGGTGACATAATATCCCACTCATCGAAGCACTATTCCACTGGCCCGTGTCGCTCTCCCATCCTTATCCTCGTGGCTGATATCCAATTCGACTGACCTTCACGGCGAACTTGCGTTGAGGGAAGTGGACGGTGCGCTTCTTGGCCTTCTCGGTGACGAGGGCAGCGTCGGCGGCGGACAACCGGCGGCGGATGGCACGGGTCTGCTTCGCGCGGAGGTCGAGGGGAGCGTACTTCTTGTTCTTGTAGAAGAGGCGGAGCTGAGCGCGTTGCTTGGCGTTGATGACGGTCAGGACGCGGGCGATCGACTTGCGGATGTCGTGGCTGTAAGAAAAATTTCACCGGTCAGCCCTTCTGCCTTCCTTCTTTCGCGAATCCTCCGAGGCCTCCTCCACCTGTCTGTCTCTCCTCCCAGACTCTGCGTCGGACCTCGATCGGGGGATTGGAGTGGTAAACGCACATCTTGTTCAGCTTGGAGCCAGAAGAGGCGATCTTCTGGATGCGGAGCTGACCGAGCTCGGTCTTGAGCTCTCCGAGTTGCTTCGTCAACTCATCCTTGTTCTTGTTCCAGAGCTGGCTGGCCTTGACCTTTCCGGACGACTGCGACAATGAAGACCCTCGTCAGCGAAAGTTCTCTGTGTATGTCCCCTTTGGGAGGGGCGTGATGTATGGTGTTTTTTTGCGTTCGTCGGTCGGGGACGCGCGGGGGGGTCGTGATTATTTCGGGATAAAAATATCGTGCTGCTCTGGAATCGCGGATTCCATCGTGATCAAGGGGTCAACTCACCATCTTGACTGATATGGGGGGTGGCGCTGGATATCTGGGTTAGTATCAACACGTCGTGAAGCGTCAGGTCAATTCACAGATTGCAAAAATTCGAGGTTCGGGAAAAGAATGCCCTAGGGTTATGGGAAGTGTGGTGGTGTGCAATCGAAATTTAGCGGGGATCGATTTGATTGGAGTGCAGGCTGGCCTTTCAGTGGGGCCCTGAGTCGGACCTGCGCCACGCTGTCTGTCCAGCCACAGCGACCCTAGGACCCCGGCAAAGCGCCCACCGAGCTCACCGAGGATGGCCTGAACGATTCATGCGGCACCATCCGACACTTACATAATCATTCCAGATGCACGGGCCATGTGACGCTGAGCTCCCTCCATGCATCTGGTCCCTGCCGACAGCGTCCCAGACACGCGGACATGGCTGAGCCCATCTGAAGACGACTTCTCGAACACAGGCAGCGAAGCGGACGAGCGTACACCCACCACCGCAAACAACATCGCAGCGCCATGGCTGCGGCTTCTGGAAACACGGGCTGGGCCCAGCTACGGCAACAAGCGCGAAGTCTCGAGACACAGGTATGAACTTCCATTTGCTCGCAGCAAGCATCACCTCTCCGCCGGGTTTCCCTGACATCCGAGTCGCCGCGCAGACAGAGACCTTGTTCCACACATACTCGCAGTTCTCGACAGTATCAGATATACCAGCAAAACCGACAGAAGATGAA